CTATTGGAAAATAAATAGCAAGTTTTGAAATGAAAAGCTTAAAAGAGATTAAAAAATAATTTAAAGGGTGATATAATTTGTGGGTTGTTTTTTTAGGACCTAGCAGGAGTGCTCTCTGATTCTCTCCACGTTTTATTTTTCTAATTGGGCTACCAAGTCATGATCATTGTCACCCAATTTCCTTATAGTCTTATAAAATGAAGTTATTTTTTTTATGTTGCATCATCCAGAGAGTAAAACAAGCCTTAAAAGACTTAAAAAGGCAAAAACCGTGAGCATTGTGTTCTCAACTTGTATGCCGTGACACACAGTGGAAATTTAAGTACCCAGCCATCAAATACATTTAAGAGAATCAGTAAGAAATAGTAAATTTTCACCATTAAACTATATCTAAATATATTGTGGGTTTAATATGTTCAGTATACTTGAAAGCAAAAAAATTGCTTTTACCTAAGAATGGCTCATGGATATTTAAATACATATCTATCATGCTTAGTGTATTTAAAATCATGTGGTTTTTTTCATGTCATTTCTGTTGTTTTTAAACGTAGTCATTAGTGACATAAATGTAGCATTGTAGAAAAAGGTGCATTAACTAATATATTTAGTGACAATCATAAACACTCAACCTTTCCCATAATTTAAAGCAAAACCTTTGCATGTTCTGCAATTTAAAACAACAAAATTTTCCTTCCCCTCTATGTTTTCACAATGTTTTCTTAATTGTGAGGGTATAGCTTGCTTCTCTGATTTCTTCTATAAGGACAGTCTTCTAGGAGACTGTCCTTATAGAAGGACAATTTTCAACCTTTTTCATCTCATGGCACACAAAATCTGATTACTAAATTCTGCAGCACACCAAAAAATGTATTTTGTGCAGATCTGACAAAAAATAGGTATAATTTTGATTCATTCACACCAGACGGCTATGGTTGTGTTGGCTGTTTTTTTTATTTGACAGTCTAAGAGAAAGGAGGTCAGTGCCCCTGACTAAACAGTCAGGCATTGCATGTTTTAAAAATTCTTGTGGCACACCGCTTGATAATTGCTGTTCTAGAGGGTTTTGAGGATTTTACTTGAGCAAGAACAAACAATTGCTTATCTCTGTATGGGAGACACTTTGAAAAGGACACTTCTCTTGTGAAAATCAAGGCACACTTTGGCTTACTTATTTAATAAAACAACAGTTTTGAGGTATTCCCGTGTGGATTCCCCAGATGACTTACATTTCTGAGACGCACGCCACCACCATAAAGAGAGAGAGAGTTTAGTGAAGTTAAAAAAAGAAAAAAGTTAGTTTAATTGCTCTTCATGAAAAAATACAAATTTGAATCCAGAAAACAAAATGAATGGAATATGGTTTAAGCCATATGTCCACCTTCAGAGCATCAGTTGACTAGTACCAAGAAGAACCAACAGCTTTAGGGTCCAGCAAGAACAGAAGGACTCCAGAAAGATAGATCAACTTATCTCTGTGTTTCTGACCCACGTGCTATCAGTACTCAGCAGCCTCTATCACAGGGTCCTTGTCAGCTCCTCATATTCTGAACTAGGTAAAAACACAGGACACGGCAGCCAGTGGAGTTGCAGTCTAAGGAGTCGCTTCCAGATCTGCTCACTGCCACCCACATTTCTTCTGTTGACACTATGTTTTGCTAAACATATTGGTTGTGTTTGTTTGTTTTTAGTCTATTGATACATGTTCCAACAGCTATTACATTTGATATGACCTATACTAAAATTGCCCTTAAAGCACTTAGGAGTTTGCTAGGGCTGTCAAAACAAAGCACCGCAGACTAGATGGCTAAGCAGAAGTTTATTTTCTCACTATTCTAGAGTCTGGAAGTCTGAGATGAAGGTGTTGGCAGGGTTCATTTCTTCTGAGACTTGTCCTGTAGATGGTCCTTTTCTCCCTGTGTCTTCACATCACCTTCCCTCTGTGTGTGTCTGTGTGTCATTCTCTCCTTTATGAGGACAGTCATTGGATAAGGCCCCCCATAACAACCTCTTTAAAAACTCTATCTCCAAATATAGTCACATTCTGAAGTACCTGGGGTTAGGACTTCCACATTTGAATTTGGGGTTTGGGAGGACGCAATTCAGCCCATAGTACATGCTTTTCAAATAATCTTTCAGAAGGTCTGTCACCTCTGCTGGCTATTTGAACTAGAAGGCAAGAACTATATTCTCTTTTCCCAATCCCCAGAATCCAGCAGTGCCCAACATTGAAGGTGATTCACAAACTCATGGTGAATGCATGCATGACAAAGGTATTTTGAATTATTTGAGAGCAAGGGTAGTAATTGTCATATTGTCTTTCCTCTAAAGTCCTTCATTTTAAAGTTTCAACACACCACTGGTATAAGAAAGAACAAAGCTGTAATGTAAGGGACATATATTTCCAATAATCTACCACCTTTTCCCTTAAATCTAAAAAGGAAGTTTAGTGTCTCCTTTAGATACCATGTCCAAGGATATGCTTAGTTCTTAGAGAGATTAGGCAAGCAGGTTTTCAGAAGGTAACAAACAGACCCTCTATCCCTTTGGGCTTAAGGTTCTGATTCTGAAGGAGACAAAGAATTTACCGCAAGGCCGAAGTGATGCTTATTTTTCCTAAATAATGCAAAGATTACTTTTTGATTCAAACACTAAAAAATGCCTAATTAGAAATGCCCTTGGAAAATCTGTAGCTAAATTAATATGTTTCAAAAGAACAAATTTGAGGTAGGTGGGAAAGTTTGCTCAGTCGCAGGTTTTGCTATCAAATACTGGTGTTCCTGAATTCTTTGGCCAAACAAATCACTGACTGTTTTTCTTTTAAAAAAGGAAAGTTTTTGGAAAAATAAATTGTAAGAATAAGTATAATAAATGTCTGAGAGGCCAATTATTTTTTCCCTACAAATCAAACTTGGGTGACTTTAGTATTGAGGCTTTGAACTTAGACGTTAAATGCTAAAGCAGTGTGCTTTTGCTTAAGTAGAATATTACGGAAAATCACAAGAACACAGACATAACATTTACTAGATTGGCTTGTCATTGCATCCATGTGCCTACTGAATTTTGACATGTATTTTTATCAACATGTTTGGTTTGCAATGAGACTTTATTACTCATTAATATGTGTAATGTTTTCAGTGGTACTTAAAGCATGCTTTTAAAAGTAGTAATGTAGAAATGTAATAATTTTTTTTTTCCAATTTGTAATGAGTGAACTGACGTTTGACCCTAACTAAGGTCTTCTAAAATTCAGCCCAAACTGGGATTTTGTGTGCCGTGACCTTGTTTTAAGCCTTAAAAAAAGCATGTTTTCTTCCCCCATTCCTGATTAAAGGTCATATCAGGGTGGCTCTCTGTTCCAAACAAGGCAGAGGGTAGATTTCTCCCAGAAGGAGCTGGTCAAAGACTCGAAAGCTGAGCGAGAGGCGGAGGTTGGGTTTGGGGGAAAACACATGGCCCGGAAAGCAGACCCAGTGCAAAGTCAGAAAATAGGTCCAGTTCTTACAGGATGAGCTCTCAGATATTTAAGACCGAAATGTATGTGTTGGCTGTGGACGGTGTGATTCTTCAAAGAGAGGTGGCAGGCAATCTGCATTCTGGGGTAATTCAAGAGCATCGGGATAGTGGGAAGAACGGAAGTTCAGAATCTGGAAACCAGGTTTGAGTGTAAGTCCTACCCTACATTGACTGTGTGGCTTTGGGCAAATCGGCGACCTTTTGAATTTCAATGTTCTCATCTCTGTAATGATAAGACCTATTCCCAGGCTTATTGTCAGGATGAATTAGTTAATGTATGCCAAATTGCTTTGTGAACTGGGATGTGCCATAAAAGTGACTGGGGTAGATCAGTTACTGTTAGACTATCCCAAGGAACCAACACAGCCATCCACTGTCCTACCTCAGACCGCCACACACATGGGTTGACTGGGACATTGAAAACTTCACAGTTCGCCCAGTGATTAGGCTGCCACCCTTGGTGCTTTCAAAAACAAAAACTGCACGTGAGTCTGTTTGTTAACCTATTGATGCGATGTGATTCTTAATATTATTTATTAAATGTGAGGCTTATGTACAGCATTTAGAGAATCAGACCTGGAGGAAATCTTATCTAGTTCCCTCCCTTCAAGAAGGGCCTATATCAAATGTGAATTAGCTCTGAGTTGCGTTGTTAAATTCTGTTTCTAAATTTCTTAAAGTAGGTTTCACATTTTTTTCCTCTGCTAAGTTCTTTCTTACAGCTGACCTAAATCGGTTGTTGTAATTTAAGTCCTAATCCCTGACTCCTGTCTTTACTAGAGACGGAGAACAGCTGGTCAGCAAACTTCTTATGATAATAATCCTTGTACATGTATTTAAAGAAGAGTTACTCAGTACGATTCACTCTCTCCACCTCATCCCACCCCTGCCCCCAGCCCCCAAATTCATCAACTAGTATTCTCTGTATCATTCGTGGGGATGTTGCCCATCTCCCTGCCCCTGGCTCAGACACTTGGCTATTTTCAGGCAGCTGGGCAGTGTGTTGGTAGTGGCTACATGAGCCTGGGAGAATGCAGGCTGCTTCTTCCTTTCCTCCTTCTAAAAAATGATCAGGATAACCCCTAACAGTGTGTGATGGGTGCATGGCACATTATCTCATAAACATGGGGCTTTGTAGGGATTCTTATCATAGGTTGTGTTGAAAGTTAGGTCGCCCCAGTGCCTTAGTTTGCTCAGCCAGTCGAGCCACGAAGCTGCCACTTGGTGTGCTAAGATAACAGTGATCGATATCTGCTCTACTGGACCTAGCCTTGCAAGACATGGAGCTAAAACTCTCCTGAGTGCAGCAAACATGCAGAAGCACACTAACAGTCTGAACGAGGTGATGGGCTTCCCCCGCACTTTAAAGTTGCAATGGGGAAGTAAGTGATCCTTGAGAAGGGTTGAGCTCATTAAGCTGATCACTGGTGGTTTCAAAGTGGATCCCGTTCTTAATCTAAATGTGTGTGCTCTTATGTCTCCTACAGGTTTATTACCCAGAGCTTGCTGTCTGGGTCAGCCGAGAACCATTTCCAAATGAGGAAATGGAGGGAAGGCTTCCTAAGGTAAGATCCTTAAGCTGCTATTTTGTTAATATTTTAAAATGTAGAAACAATTTTTTTAAAAAAAATCAGATTTATTCATTTTTCATTTTAATATCCAATATAATAATTCACTTATCTGATACTATTATGACCTTAGAAATAATGTATCCTAAAAAAAATCATATCCTAAATTCCTGTGACTCTTAAATTTCACTATTACCTTCCTTTCTTGACAAGCCCAAAGCAAATTTTCAATTAATAATCATGGAATCAATGTACATTTTACAGATTTTTTAATTTGTTTCATTCCTGGGTAAAGTCAAATATAATGCTCAAACTAAAAGATATCTTAAAAGGAAAAGATGATGACAGTTTTGTCTGGTAATAATGACAATTTTGTCTTATCAATAATGTTTGATAAGATTACCTGGGAAACAAAACAGAAAGCACATTAAAAAAAGTTGTTATATTTCTTTCTTTTAATTTTTAGGCCTAAAATATGTTCTGTAAAATGCTTTCATTGTGCTTACATCTTAGATGTGACAATTCTCTGCCTTAAAAAAAATTGTAAAATGTACATTTTAGATTTTAGCCCCATTTCTGGGGGAAAAAAAAAAATCCAACACAAACATTTAAAAACCATTTACCAGTTTTTACTCTAGATACCTCTGGACTATGCCTGTTAGGGTAAATATCACTTCTTAAGCAAGAGGATTGTAACTTTTTACCACTGACCTGATGAGTTTGCAACCAATAAAGAAAAACAGAGTCCATTCAAAATAAAAATTAACATTTAAAAGTTTTATATGTGTAATTGACCAACGATGAGGGCTACCCAGCTATTACTGATATTTCAAATTTGAAAAGCTCTCTTATTTACACTACACCGTTTCAGCAATTCTCTACCTTTTACTGGCAGCCAGAATTTGAAGAGATTAAGTCAACCAGCAGTTTGCACTGAAAGAAAGCACTTCTAAATCACTTTTAATTTTTCAGAGAATTTCTGAAGGTCAAAGTTTAAATCATTGGCAGGAAAGTAGATGAGCAACATGATTTGGGCCCTGTCTGAGCTAGACTTGTGCTGATCTTGTAGAGTCGGAGTGGTAGTGAGCTAAAATACTGGAGCTTCACTTAGAACACACCTACAGCCCGCCACCTCACCACCACATCACCAGCATCAGCAGTGTAACTGTAGACATTCTTGATCAGGACGGCTCAGGGCAAAATTCCCCTGAGCAGCTGAGGATGAAACATGATAATGGAAGGAGCGAGAGAGAGTGTAGTCTTGTCATTAGTTTCTGCCCCATGCAGGCATCCAGAGGCCTTCTCTTTGATACTGGTGACAGCAACCAGGAGGCAAGTTTGTCAATGAGGCCAATAGTGCCTCCCCTTCCTCTTAGGCCAGTCCAGGCCCCAGGCTTTGCCTATAATGAGGCATGCTTCAGGGGTTGGCACAGTGGATCCTGCAACTCAGGTCTTCTGTTAATTTTAACTTCTTTCCTCTCTAAATATATGAATAGTATCTTAAGCATAATATATTTATCCTATTTTCAGCAGTTTCCTTCTGGAAAAGCATATCTCTGCATAATCATAAAAAAAAATAATAATCTTGACTCACTTGGTCCAAGTCACATTATTGAGTAACTGGGAGATTCATGTACTGGCAGTCATCATAGAAGGCATCCAACCTGAGTTAGGTCAGTGGTAGGGGCACTCTCTGGTTTGTGGGTGCCAGCGGACACGTCATTCCCCTCCTCTAGCCTTCTAGATTATTCCAGTTCCCAATCCTCTAGGGACCACTATGTGCTGGACAATGGAAGAAGATATGATGATTTTTCCCTGAATTTTTATACAGCCTGACATATGGAGAAATAAGACAGCCTGTGTCCTCCCTTCAAAATGCCTCCTTCCCTTTCTATAGAAGCCTACAATTCCTTCAGTGGGGGCAGGAAGACTGGATTCTTTTCTCTTTTTTTAATGAAGGAGAGGAAGTAATGATTAAAATCTAATAAATTCCGGCCTCCAAAGAGAAGATGGGTAGAATTTTATCTCCCCAGAAGCTCCTCTCCCCACAGATATGTTGGGTCATGGCCCCTCAGGCTGCTTCAGTAGCATAAGCCCTGCATGGGCTATGCCATTGCCTTGCCATTGTCCAGTTGTTCTTGGCCATCTCCCACACAGCAATTCAGTTAAGGGCAGGATGGGCAGGGACTGTTTTTGTCTCTCTTTTAATCTTTGTAGGCTTAAAATCTAATAGAGTACTCAAGCCATAATGGGCACTCAGAACATGAATAATAAATGAAGACATGAATGTTTGGAAACCTCACAAGAGAGAAAACTAGTAAAAATGTAGATTCCCATCTGAAATAATCTTCACATTCTTTTTTTCCTGGAAATAACATCTTCCCAAATTGTCGAGATCCCACTCAGCTCTTCATTTCGTTTTGTTAAGTATTTTCCATGGAGGTAACAGGCTAGTTACCTAAGACTGAGACTTATCTAGAGACAGAATAATGTTCTATATATTCACTTTTGAACAGAGTAACTCTGAACTGAAGTTAGCAGTTTGAAACCCAGTCATGTACTGAGGATAGTTGAGTGAAATAATGTTTATGAACTTTTGATCTTCCATCCTGGCCTGTGACAATAAGAAGCCATTGAATTCTTCACTTGTCTAAAACCTAAGTTTGTCATATCTCAAACCATGCATGCTAACTGTTGCTGGGAAGGAGGAACAAATATTATTTTAAAGGCACCAGGCCCTAGCAAGTTTAGCTGAGTGGATAGAGTGTCCACCTGTGGACTGAAGGGTCCCAGGTTCGATTTCAGTCAAGGGCACATGCCTGGGTTGTGGGCTCGATCCATGGTGTGTGTGTGGGGGGGGGGGAGGGGGTGCGGGTGGCAGCCAATCAATGATTCTCTCTTATCATTGATGTTTCTATCTCTCCCTCTCCCTTCCTCTCTGAAATCAATAAAAATATATTTTAAAAAATAGGCATCAGGATTACAGTGGATTTCTCTTCTTTTCTTTTTAAATCTTGGGATTGCATGCCAAAATCTCAAGATTAAAATTATTTTCACAACTCAAAGAAACATTAAAGTACATACTGAGTGGATTTGATATACGTCTTAAAAATGTTGTATACTCTCAAGGTCTGAGATTTTTAAACACAAAAATGGGCATACCAGATGTTTAGTATGAAAAATCTATACAGTGAATAAGACTTCTCCAAGTTGAATTATTTGTGACATTTAGTTCACCCGGGGACTGATGAAAACATTGATTCAGTTTCAAGTTATTAGGAAGTTCCTGATGTCTGGATTCTTAAGAAGAAATTGAAAAGGGATCATTTACAGTCACAAAGCAAGATTATCACTTTAATAAAAGTTCTTATATCCAGTCAAATCAGTTTATTATAAATGTTCTGTTAGAACATGTGACCTGAGCAAAAAAGGGGGGGAAAGATCTTTTAAACCACAATGGGTAATTTTTCCCAAAGAAACTCCAGTAATCAATAGTTTGTCTAAAGGAGAAATGTGTCAGATCACTATTTTCATATCTGATCAGGACATACAGTATATTTGTGGGAGAGCAGGACCTCTATTTTATACCATCCAATGGCAAGTGGGGTTCACTGTCCTGTCTTCTTGTTGTTTGGTTGCTGTGGAGAGCTCCTTCCCGTTGGTGCTCATTGTGGTTTGATTATCTTAGAAACACAAAAATCTCACTCATCGGGATTATGATGAGAGACTTAGAATAGCCCCGTCAGTCCCAACTAACTGACTCTCTCTCGCCAGCTCTTGGTTTCATGCTATCCTCGTCTTTCCTGCAACACCTTCCCCCTGAACCCCACACTGTTTCCTCCCAAACACGCCCACCTCTGGTCCCCATTCTGATTCTAACCAGAAGGCCCACATGGATTGTGCCAGTGCTTATAGAATAGACCTTACATAAATTACATTTGCGCATACTGTAATATGCTTTTGAATATTTTTATTATATATTAGAAAATAGACGATTGCCCTATTCCACCACAGCCATCGAACTCCTTTTTTCAATACTGCTGTGAGCACCTCTCACCCAGCTTCATGTCAGGCCCTACCTGACACTAGAAACTGTCCCTGGAAACCTGACTCTTGGGGAATGCTGCCTCCCACTTGGCTGGGCAAAGCCGTTAGAGAAGCACTTGTTTCTGCTGAAGCCAAGGCGGCTGGTGTTTAATTACTTCATACCCCACAGACCTAATATTTACATTCAGGTGAGCTGTGTTTAATGTGTAAACTCTGCAAAACATTTGGAGTTCAAGGATAAAAGGCAAAATTTTCCAAATGGTTTCAGAAATATGACTAAGTGTGTCTCTCTTTGTGTGTGTTCCTGTGTCTGGGCCCACCTGCTTTTCAGGGAAGACTTCCCGTCCCAAAGGAAGTGAACCGCAAGAAGAACGATGAGACCGAGGCTGCCTCCCCGACTCCACGTGGCAGCAATGAACTCCACTCCCCAAGCATCAGTTACCTCCACTCTTTTTAATCATAACACCTCCATTTGTATTACGTATGGTGTATGGGTATTGATGAGGTTATGGTATCATATATGGGATTTTTTTCTGTGTAAATCATCAAATATAAGAAGAAACTATGGGACTCTGAGCCTTGCTTTAGAGAATTTACAGTGGACAGATAGGTATCATCAAACCAGTTTTTAATCATTCTGACTCAAGTGAAAACGCTCAGAATTTCACACTGTGAATCCACGTTTACAACCCTTACAGGTGGGCCTTCAGGCCTGGTTCGCTACGATGACGTCTTCCACAACTCAAACTCCCACTGCTCTCACACAACCGGTCCACTCCTGCCTGGTCACTCATACAGCTCCCGACTGCTTCTTGCAGAGGCTGAGAGTCCCCATTTTTTTTTTTCATTTAGATGTAACAAACCTAGTAGTTTATGTTCATCAATTGTCTGTATATCTCTATATTTTATCCATGTACTCTTTTGATGTATAGAAGTAGTTTGAAACTCATTGTTTCCTTGTGGTAAGTGACCGAGATGCTGCCACAGGACCTGAGACACTGATGAATGGTGCTATTTTGGACTTTCAACATGCTCCTTGGCGAGGTAGCTCTGATGGAGTTATTTTTTATTTCCATGTTCTAAGAAGGTGTTGGTACTCTGTTTCCCTGAATGTTGTTCTCTAGACTGGATTGACCTGTTTTCCTTGTGTCTTCAGTGTGGCTTTCTTCTTCAGCATTGTAGGTTGAGTGAACGCTACCAGAGAGAGTGTAAGAGACCACGTCTCGTTGGCTGGTACTCATGGACCCGAAGTCCCTGTAGTGGGAGCAATCACAAAACTGTAATTTACTTACCAAATCTCTTCCTTTTGGTAGCCTCGCCTGCCTAACTTAGAGAAAGAAAAGCAATAATTGGACAGGCGTTTTTAGGTGTCTCTCTTGGTTCTTTTTGTTTGAAAGAATATTTGGGGGAGGGGGGAGGGAAAACTCTTTTTTAATAAATGACCTCTAAAAAATCCAAAAAAACCTGGCATTTGAGTGGAAATAGGGAAATTACACCTTTCCCAAATATTAGGTTGGAAAAAGTATCTTTGCAAAATGGAAAAAAAAAAAAAAAAGGTAGAACACTCGTTTTGATAAGCAAGGTATAGATGTTACATTTTTGTCCTTGCTCCCAATGGAATGGATAAACAAACAAAAAAATCAGAAATACCATCTACTCACAGAATGTTGTTGCGTTAGCCAGTCTGAAAGCCCACCTTGATTTTTATATAACTGTCCTTTAGCGCTTCCTTTGACAGGGCAGGCTCTGTCTGAACTGTTCCGCTTCTGACTGCTCACCATCGATGATGCATGCGTTGCACTTCGCTCTCCTCTTGCTCCCCCATTGGCCTGAGTTCTCGTGCATTTCCCTTCTCCCTCCTTTGTTAGAATAGGTCTATCAGCTGTGTAAATAGAGCAAGAACAGTATTCTGCGTCTGTGGCATTTATGTAGTTGCAGCTGTGTACTGCTGGAAATGCAGGCTTTTGTAACAATGTGATCTTTACTGATGCACTCATGACAAGTACCCAATGTATTTTAGTAGCATTTGTTCAATAAATATACAAGCGGTAAGGTAACTGGTTTGGCTCGCCTGCTTTGGAATGCTTTCCCTGGTTCGTGTTCATTCGTGTGTTCTCAGAGCCCCCAAAGTAGGCCCAAGGGCAGATATCAAAAGGGATCGAATCAGCTCTGCCTTCCATGCATTTTCCCTTTGGAGGGTTTTATGAGATTAGGGGCCAGGCACTGGCTATTAGGGTGGGATTTGCAGAGCTGCCTCTGGATACAAAGAAGAATTAAACCAAAACCCTTTTAGCTCTACACTGGTTTTTATTTCCCTTTTCAGGGCACTCCCACACACCTCAAAACTTAATTCTCTCTTACTCCTTCCTGACCATTAGAAATTACTCTGTGGTATTCTTTTTATTTATTTATTTTAATTGATTTCAGAGAGAAAGGGAGGGGGAGGGAAAGAGATATAGAAACATCAATGGTGAGAATCATTGATCGGCTGCCTCCTGCACATCCCCTACTGGGGATCGAGCCCGCACCCAGGCATGTGCCGCGACCGGAACGAACCTGGGGACCCTTCAGACTGCAGGCCCATGCTCTATCCACCGAGTCAAAACGGCCAGGGCTCTCTGGTATTTGTTATCATGACAAAAGATACCTGATCTCACTTATAAACAGACAAAGGCTTATGTTTATAAGAAGATAAAAATTTGAAATATAATTTTTTAAGTCATTAATTCATTTGGATCTAACTACCTGGAATCTAGCAGTTGGTAGATAAGATGGCATCAGCAGAACCTTCTGGAGGTCTCGTGTGAGCCTGAAACCCTGCAATTCAGGGGATTCAATCTCGGTGCATGCGAAGTGCCCACTGCTTCCTTCTCATCCATATGAGAGTGAAACTTCAACTTCAATTACACAAAAGTTGCTAAATTGGCTGGTTGGGTTCAGATATTTGAGTTTCACCCGAATGAAGGCTAAGGAACAGGCCCTGAGATAAGAGGCAGTGAAAAAGGGAGAGGAACAAAAGGTTGCTCTGCCCCAAATGGGGAGCTCAGCCTCTGGGGTGTGGGGGTCAGATGCTCTGAGAAAGCTTGGGTCTTTTCGCACTTCAGGAGGGACATCTAAATTGGGGAGTTACTTTTGAAATTAAGGCACATTTCAGATTTGGGTTAAGTTTTCTATTTACCCTGAACTTTAACCCATTGAGAGAAAGGAGCCTTAGGGCCCAACTAAATCCCAACTGCCTACCAGGTAATCAGATTGGTTCAATCTAAAAGGAAATTCTTAAAATGGAGTGGCCACTACCTCTATCCTCTCCCTCATCCTCTCTCTCTCCCCCCCGAACCTGGGACCCTTCAGTCTGCAAGCCGACGCTCTATCCACTGAGCCAAACCAATCTGCGCTCTCCTCTTCTCTTTTTTTTAGGTGATAAGGCAGAGGCTTTTCAATCCATACCAAAAGGAGGGGTAAAGAACTCTACTTCTCTACTTGGACACAGAGCAGTCCAAGTAAGACCCCAGAGGCTTGAAATAGTGTACAAGTTGGGGAATTATGATGTGTTCCAACCATAAAGTGAAAGAAAGGATGGAAGGAGATGAGGTTGGAGAAAGGGGTTTCAGGCTGTCCTCACATGGAAGTCATTACAAAGCCTCTCTTTCCCACACTCCCTCTTCACTCTCTTTCTCCCTTTCACCAGGTTCACCTATTTGCTTTAAAGTAGCCCCTCAACTGAAAATTGAAAACAATTCAGGCCTTAGTCAGGATTTTCACCTTTATCATGAGAACAATAGGAAACCATTTGGCAGACTTAATTAAATGAGTGGTCAAAGCAGGTTTTCTTTTTAAGTTAATTCTCATTGCTGCATTGAGAATGGTCTGAGAAGGAATGGACAAGAAAGATTTGGACAGACCAGTCAGGTGGTGATAGATAAGAGATCATGGTGAACTGAAGTGATGATAGCAGTAAGATAGAAGGAGTATTGGACAGGTGTGGAAAGTATTTCTAAGGTAGAATTGATAGGTCTTGCTGATGGGTTGAATGATCTTTTACCCTCTCTGCATCCACCCCCTTGGGCACTTAACTTTGAAGTGTCCTCTGTCTCTGGACTTGACCATGTGCCTGCCTTTGGGTAATAGAATGAAGCAGAAGTGCAAGTATGGTGCTTCTAAGTCTACAACTCGAGAGGCCTTGTTCTTTCTTGTGTTTCTGTCATTTCCATGAGGACATTCCTGAGGTAGTCTATTGGCATGGAACAGATACGTGGCAGAGACTTGAAGTGCCCAGTCAGCCCAGTTGAGACTCCTCTAGAATCTAGATGTGTGGTTGGCAAACTCATTAGTCAACAGAGCCAAATATCAACAGTACAACGATTGAAATTTCTTTTGAGAGCCAAATTTTTTAAACTTAAACTATATAGGTAGGCACATTGTTATTAACTTAATTAGGGTACTCCTAAGGCTTAGGAAGAGCCACACTCAAGGGCCAAAGAGCCACATGTGGCTTGCGAGTTGCAGTTTGCCGACCACGGGCCTAGGTCACTTTATGCCCATCTCTATTAGTTACCTATTGCCACACGACACCATACATCTTGAAACACAAACTTTACAGATCTCACAGATTCTGTTCAGGAATTCAACAGCAGTTTAGCTGTTGGTTCCGACTCAGGATCTCTCATGAGTTTGTAATCAAGATGTCAGGTCCGTGGTCATCTGAGGGCTGGGCCAGGGCTGGAGTATCTGCTCACTCACATGGGCGGGAGAGCTCAGTCCCTCCACTCATAGGCCTCTCCATAGGGCTACGTAAGTGTCCTCGTGCCCTCTGGCTTACCTCAGAGCAAGTACTTCAAGAGAAAGCTTGGAGCAGGCCATACTGCCTGTGACCTCAGAAGTCACCGTCATCCATCATATTCTATTCATTAGAAGCAGGACACTACACTCACAGGGAGGGAATTAAGTTCTACCTCCTGAAAGGGGGAGTATCAAAGAATGTCTGGATACATTTTAGTGGCAGCACACCATCTGACGTCAACGTGCTCAGGGCAATTGTAGGCCATAGATGGACAGTAGATGAGGAGAGCATCCAGACACTATAATATTGGGGCTGCATAGCCTTCATTTACACATATAAGTGCTATTGGCCCCGAAAGGAATGTCTGGAGAATGTTATTGGAAGCCATAAAAGCAGGAAAGCCAGAATAAACGATGTCTAAAGTTCTATCCAACTCATTGGACTTGAGTTTGCTGATCACAGCTCCCTTGGCCTCCATGAAGCTTGACCCTACACTTCACTTTAAAGTAGCAGGACCCATGTGAGAAGATCAGCTGAAGCTAATATTAAAGGTAATAACTGCTGAGACGAGAGCTCAGAAACTGAAGCTCTAGATGGAGTCAAAGTGGGAGACCCAAGCTTTGTTTAAACACTGTTTTATTCTCTCTCTGGAGGCAAAAATATCACAATGTTGCCTTTGGGCAGAGATTACTAACCAATTGCCATGTACCAGATAGGACCTGTAGATTAGTTTTGTTTCGCCTGCTGTGTGTTTTATAAAAATGTTGATTTAATTGCCAACATTTACAAATGGAAAGATTTCACATGAAAATGCAGGTTCCCGCTTCCCTTGGAAAGTAGAGATCTGGCAATAGTGGGGCTGGAGCTGAGTAGCAGCCTCCACTTTTGGTGAGGCATGCCCCTTCATGATCCAGTCCTTACACTTCTAATTTCTTATAAACAGTCTGCTTCACTTACATCACCTGCTTCCTTCTGTTGGCATGTGAGTTTGCAACACTGGTCCTCCGGTTTCAGGGGATGGTGGTGGGCTTATTCACCAACAAAGGGCCAGCGGACCTTCTAAGATCTTTATGTTTGATAGCATGGAGCACTTGCAGGTCTATGAGCACAAGATTGGAAATAGGATCCTCATTACTGCTCCCCAAACTGGGGCTGCTGCAGGTCCATCTCTACTTCTGGGCCTTTTGAAACTCTTCACCCCCCTCGCCCCCACCCCCCGCCCTCAGACAGAGATCCCCATGGTAAAAAATATTGGACTGGGTTAGATTAGCCTACAAAGGAGTCTGATAATTTCATCATTTTCCAACGGGTAGATGTATCTCAGGGTTACATGAAGTCTTTCCAGATCCTCTATACTTACTGTATTCTTTCCTAAAATTGACCTGCTCAGAATGAATCTGTGTTCATAATAGTCCTTTCCCCCACATTATAAAAATATACAGACAAGTTTCACCTATTCCAAACCTTAAGGACACAGTGGCCTTAATATGACATAAAACCCCCAGATGTGGGAAACAAAGAGAAAGGTTCCTTTAATGATTAATCACAAATCCTTTTCCTTCTTATATACACATTAAAAGAGATATGCTAGAATACACGAAGTGTTTGGACTCATATTGAATTTTACACTTCAGATATATGGTAAAGTGGAGAGATGGAAATAATTGAAATTTTTTATTTAAGGCCTTTTCCTCTTCCACCTCCTGACCTCTGCTCTTGAGGGAGAGTCCTGAGAGAGTGACACAAAGGGAAAATCAGTAGGAGACATTAAATACCAAAACTGTATTCATTTCATTGTAAGC